CACTGTGAAACTCATGTAGTTCTTGGCGGTGCTGCGGGTCCAATTGGGAATGAGTTTGCAAAATAGGACGGTTGACACGAGCATTCGTGCGGTTTTCTCGCGTGGCATCAACAAATTGTTGCACAAAATGGAAATCTTCAAGCTGGCCCCTTAATGGGGTATCCAGCGTGGATCTTTGTGGGTCTCGCAATGTGCACGGCATTTGCATCTGTTGCTGTTCTTGGAAGCCGAGGAACTCAAATTCAGGCATGTTTGCAAATGCTGGCACTTGCGGCCTTGAAGCCGCCCATGGCACAATGGGCCACGGCAACAATTCTCGAAGATCATTTGGCATGCGTGACATATCTGCCCATGTCATGTTGCTTTGATGGTTTGGCATGCTGCTACCTGCAGAGATTGCAGTGGCTGCTTCATGTTCGGCAGGCAAACGGCGGGCATCATGGTGCTGTGGATGGCTTGCTGGACCCATCCGTGGTTGAGAATATGACGAACTGGGCATGGCTGCTTCATCAGGTAAACGGGCATCATCGTTCTGTGGATGGCTTGTTTGACCTACTTGTGGATGTGACGTACTGGGAAATGACGAACTAGGAAACATGTTCATGGCTGGTGCAGCAGGCTCCGACTGTGTGGCTGTCTGCCGTCTGTGGAAGGCAAAATTTGGGAGATTAAAACCGCGAAACATACCCTGGACATGGATGGACCATAGCTCTGCGGCTGAGAGGTTGGCAATGACCACTGGCTACTGCTTGCACTCCACGGGTCGTTGCGGACTAATGGATCTGCTGCGGGTTCCTGGCCTGTTGTGGTGCTGTTGCGGACTGCGGGATCTGCTGCAGGTTCCTGGCCTGCGGGCATGTGCACAGTCTCATCGGAAACCATGTAGTACCGAGCCACGTTGGTGCCAGCTGGCTCTTGCATTGGAAAGATCACGGTGTCTGTCTGCACATTTCCAAAAAAAGCATCTTGCACAATACCTGCCAATGGACCTTCTGAGGATGCTGACTGCGCAAAAAATGTTGCAGCTGGACCAGGATTGGACGAACCATTTGCAAGTCGGGGGCAAGACCCAGCCAAATGCTCAGTGCTGTTGCATTCAAAACATCGCATCTGAGAGCCGTCGGGGCCTTTCGGGTTGCCCCGGCGCCCTTTCCCCTTCCCTGATGTCCGGAGACCACGGAATGTGGGAAACAGGTCATACAATTCTTGGTCGCTCATTTCTGCTAACATGGCGGTGACGGCATGCTTACCTTTACCTTTATGATTGACAGAACCATGGGACCAGGAGTGTCCTTTTCCTTTGCTCGCCAAGTGGGCACTGTGGAACCTGGATTCTTTGCCTTTACCCCTTGCCTTTTCGGCGATGGAAACGCTTGAAATGGCGGCGAACGCTGCGGGTTCCTTTGTTCATGAACTTTCGCCATTTTGACTTGGCTTGGCGATAGGCCCAGAAGAGCTCCTGGGCCGTGCGATTTGGGTCGGGACCAGGATCCACGGTGCTTGCTTCACTTCCTGAGCTGGTGTCTGTGTCTGATTGTATGTCTTCTTCAAAAAATGCGTCCAGCAAATCATCTTGGCGCGGCAGATCTGGGGTTGCACGCAAATTGTCACCAGCTGAGCCATACCAGGCTTCTTGTTGGTACCAGCCGTCTGTGGAATGCAAAGATTGTGCCCCAAATTCTTCTGTGAGAAAAGCAGACTGGCCGATCATGTTGGGTTGACGCAGCCCTTCCCTGATATTGCCAGGGGCCCGCTCTAACACGTGCCCCATTCTGCGGAGGGATGTCTTCAGCTGGGTGAATTCTTGCTCTGTCGCTGGAAACAATCCCTGATAGGGAGCCAGTAGCTGCAACAGCTGTTGATCCGTAATTCCAATAGCTCTGAGCAGCAACCAAGATATGCCTTGAATGGACACTATGGCACCTCCTTGCTCGGCCGATCGAGAACGCACTGCCTCGAACCGGACCAGCAAGGAGTCTATCGGCTCGTGGTGCTTTCTTTGGAAGGTCATTAGTTCCGTCACTGCTTGGACACGCACTTCTTCACCCAAATTGCCGAAACGTTCCTGCAAGGAGTGCATCAAATATGTTAATGGATCAACCTGGGTACCGTTGATGACTCCACCTTGCACGATGATTTGTGGAGGAATCTGTCGGGACAGCTCCTTCGCTGCGCCCCTCAAGCTCAGCATCACCAAGGCAGTTTTTCGAGATGGATCTGCGTCCGTGGCAATTGACCACAGCAACACATCTCTCGAAAATTGCCGGAAGCTGTACGTAGCCTCCATCTCAGGGCCCCAGGCATTGGGGACACGCAAAGCATTCGACTGACCTGGCATCATCATGCAAACTGCTGCTGACAAAGCGACAAACAGAACTGCAGCTGTTACTACAGGGAAGCTCTGGCTGAGCGCTAAGCGTGAAATCACAGAATGAACATGCTCAACTGCAGCTGTGGTCAAAGCATCATGTCTCTGTGCTGTCACCAGTTCCAAAACACATATAGTTGCAAAAAGCATGGATGTTGGCACAACAAGTGCGCAACACAGGGCTCTGGCAAACTGACACACCTGCCGCGCAATTTGCTTTGCACTTTTGACCTGAACAACGTTATGAGTTCCTTTCGGGCTTTCAAAAGCATTGCGCGCGCGGTTTTGCATGGATGCGGTGTGTGTGCCAAATGTGTTTGATGTGTTGTGATATGCGTCATGTTTCACACTACAGGTACCTCCATACCTCTCCAATCCTGTCACTGGGCTCATCATCTTATGACACTTCGAAAAGATGCCAAGAAAAGCATCACCCAAGAGAGGGTGCCACGAAAGTGGCATACTTACGTGGCTGAGACACTTCAGGTGAAACCTTGAATTCTCAAATTCTTCTGTACATTTTGAAACACGGTGTGAAATCGACAATCCCAGCCCTGAGTCTTGGGCAGAAAAACATCTCCAGTCAGGAAACCATTCCTCCTCGTATGCTTCAAGCTCAAAAGAAGACCACACACGGTCGGGTACAGCCCCATCACCGTCAGCTTTCGCTAAATCATGAATCGAAACGCGTGTTGCAAACGACTGTTCGGGTGCAGCCCTGTCATTGCTAGATGCCACAAATTTACGGATCGAAGGAGGCGTGGCAAAGCACATTTCGGGTACAGCCCCGTCAGCGTCTTCGCTGTCTTGGATGGAAAGCTTGTGCGCATTTCCTGTCAGCCTTGAGTTCAATGAGCACGACTTGAGCTGAAGGTACTCCGAGGAAAAGCAGCACTCTTCGGTGCTGTGGATTTGAAGGTTGCCAAAAGGCCGTGAAACTGCTTCAAATTCGTTGGTGCCACTGCCGGTGTTCTTCACTAAATCATTGAAGGTACACCCACACTCCGGAAGCCAGCAAGTCTCGGCTTTTGCCGTAGCAAGCTCGGAGTGTGCAGCATTGATATCACCTGAAGCTCCAAAATCTGACTTTTGGCAGTGTGACGCCATAAAATCAGCTAATGAAATCCCAGAGAACATGCAGACCGAAACGGCGTCAAAGAAGGCATGGCCACGGCACTGTGCTGCAAGCCGCCGCCAATCCCTCCTTGTGAATGAGCTCCACTTGGGTCCCTGAACTTCCAAGGAAGCTCCGCTACCAAGTCGAGATGCGAAAAGCAACAAACAAGCGACAACGAACCATCTTTGCACCTTGCAGGCCATGATACAAAACTATGTGCCTCGAGCCACCATCTGGTGGGAACATGCAATTGTGAAACATGTGAAACCTTGGCATGCAGAACATGGATATGGAGGTACCGTGTCAGTCATATATCATATATCACATAACATATATCATATATCAAATATCATATATCACATATAACATATAACATATATCAAATATCATATAAACATATATCAAATATCATATAACATATAACATATATCATAGATCATATATCAAATATCATATAACATATATCAAGATCATCATATAACATATACCATATATCAAATATCATATAACATATAACATATATCAAATATCATATAACATATAACATATAACATCAATATCATATAACATATAACATATATCAAATATCATATAACATATAACATATAACATATATCAAATCATCATATAACATATAACATATAACATATAACATATATCATATATCATATATCAAATATCATCATATAACATATATCAAATATCATATAACATATAACATATATCATAGATCATATATCAAATATCATATAACATATATCATAGATCATATATCAAATATCAAATAACATATATCATATATCATATAACATATAACATATATCAAATATCATATAACATATAACATATAACATATAACATATATCATATAACATATAACATATATCAAATATCATATAACATATAACATATATCAAATATCATATAACATATAACATATATCATATAACATATATCATAGATCAAATATCAATATCATATAACATATATCAAATATCAAATATCATATAACATATATCAATATCAAATAACATATAACATATATCAAATAACATATAACATATATCATAGATCATATATCAATATCATATAACATATATCATATATCAAATATCATATAACATATATCATAGATCATATGTCAAATATCATATAACATATATCAAATATCAAATAACATATAACATATAACATATATCATATAACATATAACATATATCATAGATCATATATCAAATATCATATAACATATATCATAGATCATATGTCAAATATCATATAACATATATCATAGACCATATATCAAATATCATATAACATATAACATATATCAAATATCATATAACATATAACACATAACATATAACATATATCATATAACATATAACATATATCAAATATCATATAACATATAACATATAACATATAACATATATCAAATATCATATAACATATAACATATAACATATAACATATATCATATAACATATATCATATATCATATATCAGTTTCTCCTGCTGGACGCTGCGCTGCTCGCTGCCACCGAAGGAGCTCTCCGAGAAGCTCTGCACGTTGACGCCGCCGCGCACCGCCACGGAGCAGAACACCGCGTGCAAACCCGCCTCCGGACATGGGTGAAATCTCGAAATCGGCAAAACACCAGGAGTTTCTGCTAGACTTAGACATGTTGAACAGTTTGCAGAGCTATACGACATATATATGAATATATATATATATACTATATACACATATATGATCCATGCAAAACGGAACCATGGAAGACAAAACCAACACATCGGCGCTGACTCTATGCGAATCACCGAATCACCAGAGCCTGAGCAAATTCCAAACTCACCTCAGATCTGAAGCGAAAGACTTTCCCACGGAGCACATGAAGAGCACATCATGAAGGATCAGGATGGGTAAGGACCGTAAGGATGAGAGAAATCTAGAAATGCTGTGAATTCCAGTACCTTTCAATTCAGCAAAAAAAGATTAAAAAAAGTCTTGCCCTAAGGATTTGAGGCATGGCAAAAAATTACCCAGGGTTTACCACCGCACCTCGAAGACTCCAAGCTCTTGGTTCAACACGTAGGGCAAGCGATACAGAGATCTGGTTGGCCTCAACCAATGAACAGAAACTGCGACAGGAGAGCGATACAGATTTTAATACGGTCACTGGTTGGTGGTTGACCTACCCCTCTGAAAAATATTAGTCAGTTGGGATGATGAAATTCCCAATCTATGGAAAAATAAAAAATGTTCCAAACCACCAACCAGGTCATGTGTGAGTTGCTTTTGCCCTTCTGAACATTTCTGAACCGAAGATGTTTGATCCGAAAATCTCTCGCCTCCCAAGAGTTCGTTGCTTCAAGGTGTGAGGTCCTTTGACTTCACAAAGCAATAGGGCAGCATCATCACCTCACAGCAAATACAGCAATACGCAGGTGATTTAGTGACGTTTCTGCTTGACATTGCAGAAATCTATTGCAAATCTATTGTGACCCACGCATTTTTCTCTTCAGTTCCACCAGTTCCAACCCGCCGCTCCATAGCTTTCCATAGCTTTCCATACCTTTCCCGGCCTCGGAAGACATTGAGGAAGCCATCGGCATACCACAATCGAAGGACATTGTTGCGTGAATTGGGCTGCTCCGCCAGCTGGTTCTGCACCCGTCGGAAGTAGGTCGTCGGCCAATCCTGCACTTGGGATGAGAACAAATGATTTTAAATGGGGGCAATAAAAATGGTGATGGAATTGGGATATGTGTATATTATATATATAACTTTGATATCTTAAGAGATGCCTAAATCATGCTTCGCTGGCCATGACGGCGGCACCCATCCCATCCCATGCCCACCTGCCAGCCGGTCTGCTCTTCCAGGTATATGGGGAAATCCTGAGTCGGTCAGTCGGTCAGGCTACCATACGATCACATGCTGTGTGAATAGCCTTTTCCTTGCAGCCATGCGCATGTCCCAGATCTCATCTTTCCAAGATTTTCCAAGCATATCTTGCCAAGCATCATATGGCCCCATCATTCCATAGCCAGTCTTGTTGCTACTATCTGGCCACAGCGGTGACAACGCATGGGGGTTGAGCTTCACGTTCACCTCGGCGCACTTCGACAACAGGGAAACCCCCAGGGAAACCCCCAGAATCCACAGGGTGTCATAGCATGGGCCTTGCCACTAACACTATCCAGTCATGGAACGGGAGGCTCGATGTCATCGCCTCCAGTGCGATCCAGTGCGAATGATGCGAATTTCAAAAAAAGTGTCTCAACAGCAGAAACGGGCTTCGTATTTTGATCAAAAGGCCCTTCTAACATCTTCTAACCCCAAGAAAAACTTTTGCAAAGTAGCTGGTGATATCTTCTTCGACAAGGTAAAAACATAAAAACAACACATGTGAAATCATGTGACTTGTCCAAAAAAAACACCCCAACAGTATCATAAACAGTTTTCACCATAGTTTTCACAGTTTTCGTTGCGTGCCTCGGACTCTGCAAGAAAACAGGAACTCGTCGAGGATGAAATTGGTATCACCATCCTGGACCCTGGTCTTGTTGATGCAGCAGGTGTAGGTGCCGTTCCTGAAGCCCACACTCTTCGAAACCGGTCCCAAGTGATGATGTTGGCCAAAGCATGGGTTTTCACAACGGCTAACATATTTTTCAACACACTCGACTCTGGATTTTTTTCATGAAATTGATGCAAAGTGCGAAAGATGCGAAAGATGCTTTAAAGTGAAGCCACAGAGGCAGTTTTTGCCTGTTTTTTATGCAGTTTTTCGGCAGTTGCCAAGCTTCAAATCCGTGTGATTGCAATATGATCCGGGATCTGAACAGGTCACCGACTCCAGTTGCGTATCACTTCCGGGGAACAGCGCATCCATGCGATGGTTGGCATTGCCCTGGAGGACACGGTGAGATCGTCGCTGTAAAACGCTGTTGCTATAGGTCACTTTCAAGATTTCAACATATTTCAACCGTGTTCATCCATTTTCAACCTATATTTCAGTAGCATTCAGTAGCTAAACTACTATACCTACTATACCTACTTCCACTTCATCCGACTTCATCAAGATCCAAGGCGCGTCTCGCAAAGTGATGTTCCAGCAGGAGAGCTTTCCAGCTGTCAGTTCTGAAGGAAACCCCTCTACCAGAGATCTCGTGATCACCAAAGGGCCAGGAGTCACCAAGAAATCAAACCTCGATCGATTTTCCGGACCCATTTTTTCAATCATTTAAGGCATCTACATCCAGCGAAGTCATGAAATCAGTGCGCCCAACTCGACTAACGATTCCCAGTGGCACATCATGGTACATCATGGATCCATCTGCTGCCAGGATGCGGAGAACCGACGATCGACTCGCCCTGCACGCGGAAGTCAATGACGGTCTCTCCGGCCGTAAAAGGCACAAGCACTCCTCGATAGCGGCCTGGCGAAAAAGCTGAAAACCATTGAACACCGGAAAAAAATGACTCATTCCAACGAAGCCAACAAATCCAATCCAAATCCAACCTCCAGATACCTCCAGAAATTCAATCAATTTCACAACTTGTTCTGCTCAAAACAATCTGTTGCAAGGAAACTTGGAACATCTTCGAACCTTGGAACAAAGGCACGAAGCTGATACTCACCTGACAAGATGAAACTGTTGCATCTTGAGAGCGTCTTCAAGTCCCACATGCTGCAGTCAAAGTCACTTGCTTGACACGCTCTGCGCTCCCCACCTGTTGCTCTCCATACAGAAGCCCAGTGAAAATGTCTCCATATGAAGCTTCGATAGCATTGCCAAAGCGGTCACGGGTCTGGATCTGGACCTTTCACCAATGCTACACGTGGCACAAACGTGGCAGAAACTACAGGAGAATCGTGTAACTGCCAAGATTGAAATTGACCATTTCGAATATCAGAAATCTATAGAAATCTATAGAAATCTGTTCACCATACTATTGGACTACACCTGCGTCAAGCTACCTCATTGGCAATGGTGGCGGAGGCAGTGACAAAAGGCACCACCACTGATGACATCGGGGCTGGCGTGGAGGGTACGCACAGGATAAAGGTTTGCTCTCCAGCAGGACGTCCTGCACCACTTCCAGGGCACATTTGGCATTATATTAAATTGTGCTCTCGTTCTAACCAGGAACCTTCGAAAACTTTGAAAAAAAAGCTCTTCTCAGCACATTGACCAATCCGATCAGTATTCAGAAGCACCACACCTTCTGCTTGGACTTTCGTGGGCAGAACGAGCACAGGAGTAGCACCTTTTTGGTGGGAGCACTGCGCAGGGGCTATGATGATGTGACATGCTGTGGCATGTTGTGACATGTTGTGACATGTTGTGACAGCATGTCTGCTCTTGCTCCGAACAAATTCCTCACCTCCCGGTCGTAGCAAATAAATTTCAATCGTGTAGAAACCAGCGCGGAAGACAGTTGGCTCGAAGTGGTACCTGCTAAAGACGGCTGCAGACGGCTTCACGGATCTGTCTCTATAGAGGACTGAAGGAGGAACCAGGAAGTCGACGATAAACGGATCCTCCTTTTGGGGCCCTTCAAAAAGGGGCCAGCATGTATTGAAAGGATGTGAAACCGTGAAGCAAGTTCAAAAAGATTCGGATAATCGATCTAGAATCGATCTGCAGTTTAGGGACAATGAATCAGAAGCAAAATAACTTCCTGCGAATGTCTGGTTGTAGTTGTCGCTCAAGTTCCCTCCTCAGGCGCTTTGCAGCGAGTCGGTGAGTCGAACCAACGGAAGTGGCGGAGATCCCGCGGAGTCTGATGCAGCAAAGGCTCGGAACCAACCATCCAGCGGCTCACTGCCGTCCGGGTCCTGACCGACCCAAACGACCCAAACCCGCCGGGAAGAGATGTTGAGACTGTTGAGATACGGATCATACGATATACATCGATATACATCGATATACGATATACATGGACTACATAGATCTATGTACATAGTATGTAAGGATGTTTTATCAATCACGAATGTAGTTTATTATATGCGGGACCAGAATACTACATGGAATACATCTTCCACCTATATCATGTCTTTTGCACCCAAAACGTGCTTCCGTAACGCGTGTCCAAATTTGACGGATTGCCCAGATCGTTCTTGAAACGAGACAAGCAAAATCCGGGATGACTTGGATGACTTGGATGACTTGGATGACTTGTTGGAAGGAGGAAAAATTCTAAGTGATGTTCGATGGCTGTGGGGGATGTGACAGATGTGACAGGTCTTGGCTCCTGGATATAGTCGAAGTAGGCTGTGAGTTGCAATTCATGATCCGGATTGAGATTGCCTGAGCAGGACGACATTCGTTTTGAGACACAAACTCCGGCCATGGAGCATGGAAACAAAGCAATTATAGACATCCAATTACATGGCTGGGAAAAAAAACAAAAAAACAAACATGAAATCAGTTCGGGAAATTCCAATCATCACCCACCAATTACATCCACATCCAATACCTTCGCTGCATCGACATCTACCTGACTCCAAGCTGCCAAAGACATCGCGTCCGGTGCACGTGAAGTGATACTGCGTGCCAGCCTCCACAGAAACCCGACAGTACGACAGCTGTGTTGGCATCCTAACAAACGTAAGGCTTCATTACTGGAACAACATTGACTCAGCCTTTTCCAAAATATAATTAAATCTCTATATAATTATATAAGTATTAGATCATATTAGATCTATACATGATTCATTTTGATTTAGTTTGCTCAACATCTTGGTGTCACTGTGAGCCTCGAAGATGTAAGGCGTTTCGCAGGTCATGCCGTTCTCAGAGACTTCCGCCGCTTTCCACCCTCGCACGTCAGACTTGGAGCGCTGGGAGAAAGAGCAAAAAAGAGCAAAAGCTCCAAATGGAGAAACAGATAGAAACATCATGAAACATCAACTGAATCAACTTGTCAGAAACATTGAGAAACATTGACTTAAAGTGAGAAGGTCTTGCGGTCTTGGAATCGGTTTTGACTGATGCCTCAATCGCAGTATTCAAACATTGGTGACCCTGTCTGAGCTGGTGAACACAGCAGCTGTGAGGGTGATCCAGAGATATCGTCACAGAGATCCACAGGGTTCGCCTCACGATCAACGTCGTCTGACGAGTGTATCAACGGACAACCTCCTATGGAACTCCTATGATCTCGTATGGAAGGATGCTGTTTCCATCTGTTTCCCATGTCACACTTGAGTCAAGTCCGAGTCCGGTCTGGAACGTGGGCTGGGCTTGCTGGGCTTGCTGGGCTTCCGAGCTTGCAAACAACCCACACCCATAAGGACCCTCAAGCAGTGGTAGCCAGCGAGCAACGTTTGAACCTGCCACAACTCCACATCAGCACGTTGCTTCCGACCACCACCCATCAATCACAGAGCTCCACGGCTAGCGGTTTACTTATATATATATATATGTATGTATGTATGTATATATATATATATGTATATATATAATTTTAATATATATATATATATTATATATATATTATATATATATATATGTAAAGATTAGAAAGCACATTGAGCACGTGAAAACAATCAGCACATAGATACACTCAGCACAGATACGTCACCAACACGGATGCTTTCTGAACATCGGTTGTCACTCGGTTGTCGTCGGTGTATCCGGCCGTCACGGTGATGGTACCGTTGTCGTGCACTTGCGTGGCCAGCTGGGTGTCGCCCAGATAAGCAACGATGCCATTGCGCCGTTGCTGGAAGTCGTTTCCAGTGAAAATACCTGGGGCAAAGCCATGAAAAAGAAGAAAAAGAAAACAAAGGCATGTGTAGAACTGTGTAGATGCGTGCGCTGTGTGCGCGGGTTTGATATTTAAGGCAAGATTTCCATCAGTCTGGATTGCCTGCAAAGGCCCATGCTTTGTGAAGTGGCACCACACAACAGAATCCAAGAGCTCGGCAGCTCTTCCCTAAAGAATCCTGACCCGAAATAACCCAAAGCGCCTCATCAACGAATCATTCACATTGCAACATGCAACAATAAACATTATATAAACATTAAATAAACATTAACATGTTCGACGACATGTTTCTGTTTAGTTTTTCGCACCTTTTGTCCCCGCAAGGCGTCCCACTGAGTCCCACTGGGTCCCAGGGGCGGTCATTGCCATATTGATCCTTCATTTGCACCGTGACAGGCACAGGCACGCCAACGACATTGCCTCCATGCACAGGGACGAGCAAAGCTCGTCGGATTATGGCCATGAAAAACCACGGAAAAACTAGACGACATCTACACATGAAACGATCTCTATATAACAATTGAATAAGATATACATATTACATATATATATATACACATCAAGAATCATCAAAAATCATCAAAAAAATCATCAAACAGCATCGAGAATCATTTTAAAATCATCCGGGAAATATCATAGATATACACATACGTTTAAAGAAAATATGAAGATATTTCTATCTTGGAAGAGCTGACCTCGAAAACAGGCACCTGCCAGGTCCAAGCCAGGCCCTTCCATGGTGGAAGTGGAGGTGTTAATGTCCTTGGCAGAAAATGGGAGAAAATTCGATCAGTTCCCATCAGAAATTTCTCTCATCATTCCGCATCATTCATCCAAGATGCCCCAGTGTTCACCAGCAAAGACGTGGGGCCTTGCGTGTATGGCGCCTCCAGCGTGTAAATGAAAGCACTTTCCTGGCAAACCATGCTGCAAAAAGATCCAAAAATGATCGAAACCATGGCAGTTCTGCTGATATCCCAAAGATTACCCGGTTTTTCCCATGGCAAAACCATATTACCCTCTGGTTATGTCAAAATAGCTATGGAAAATCACCATTTTTCATGGGTAAAGCCACTATAAATGGCCATTTTCAATAGCTATGTTGGTTTACCAGAGGGTGGGACTTGGAGTCTGAGAAGATGATGACTTGCGAAAATGACTTGGAGCGTCCAACCTTCGGTCCAAAATCAGTGGCGTCCAGGGTGCTTCCCGCACTGATATTCTGTGACCACCATCACTGGTTCAGAAACATGTCAGGGGCCACGGACCAAGTCCCAAAAGATGTATCTTGACCATTTACAAGCAACCTGCCATGGAGCCAATCGCGCCAAAGCATGTCATAACTTGCAGTCAGCAACAGATTTGCATATGTTATTTCTGCTATCAAGTCAAAAAGTCTTCTGCTTGCGCATCACGTCTGCCTTCTTTTGCAGTTTTTTACCTTGTGCCAGTTGATCAACATGTTTCCATGTGGGGACCCATATGTTTCCATAGAAGTTACCCTCTGGTTATGACTAACATAGCCATGGTATAGATGGCCCATAGAAAATAGATGGTTTACCTGGTTTACCCCTTTTTTACCTATTAAAAATGGTGATTTCTCATGGCAAACTGGTCATAACCAGATGCTACCCACATCTTTCCTTCCCGGATGACGCTTTAACCGACGCCTCAGCAGGAAGTTTCCGGTGATGCTCGGGACCAAGTCGCACGCGTGCATCTCACCGAAGAGATGGTAGCAAACTCCCTGGCGAAATCGCGAGAAATGCGAAGTGCAGAAACAAAATTCATAGAGTGGCAAGCAAAAAAAATCAGGTAAATAATATATAATATATATATAATAACAATAGACATTATAATATCAATAATATATATGTATAAGATTATATAAGATTATATAAGAATCTAAGTCATTTCTAAGTCATGATTTAGAGATATTTAGAGTATCAGTACCCCTGATTCCAGGCTTTTTTTTCTCGGGAGAAGTTTCTGTGGAAAACTCATTCCAAAGCACCGGACCAGAACAGCCTCGTCGACTGCCACGCAGAGAGGGTCGTAGGGATCTCGTGGGTCGCAGCTGTCGGACACCGTGTGATACCAAAGCTGCGAGTGGAAGTCATCCAGCATCCGATTTCCGTAGGTGTCACGGACGTGAAACCTCACGTCGGAAACAAATGAAAAAATGAAAAAACAATGAAAAACACATGCTACAATAGGACACAATAGGATCTTAGCAGCTATGCCACAAATGCCCAAGCTGCAAAGACAAATTTAGAGGGGAAACGAGTGGCAGTTGGGTTTTCAATTGAAATCCACCGCAAAAAAAAACAACGAAATGCACACAGAGTTTGGTCCCCACACACAACGGAGCAGTTTACTCCGGTGGTGCACTCCGCAGGGAGCCTTGCAGCGTCAGCGCAATGTCGACTGTCCGTGGCTCTTCGGTGGCTCTTCGGTGGTTTCACTGGAGGTATCATTTGACACACAGGAATAAAAGATACCCTCTGGTAAACTAACATAACTATGGAAAATCACCATTTTTAATGGGCAAATCAACTGTAAATGGCCATTTTCAATAGCTATGTCAGTTTGCCAGAGGGTAATGAAAGATAATACATCCAATCCAACAAGTGGCATCTCTTGTGCAGAGGAAGCATGAAGGGTCTTGTTTGTGTGTCTTGCGCCGATCTTGTCGAAGCCATGGTGGTAACTGCAGTTGAAAGTTTCGTCAAGAAGTGTGGCAAAACTGGAAAGACTATGAAAGACTCCCCAACACCCATCTGGCCAAATCTGCATAGTATCGTATTCCGATCTGAGATCAAGGCCTGCAAATCTTTAGGAATTACTAGATTCTATTAGAGATTAATATATATATATATATATATATTAATAATTTAAGTAATAATCTATAATATTACTGATCTATATAAATAAGGTATATTAATAATAATTTAAATATCCTTTGGATTCCTTTCTTGCGTCGTACCTTTGGATTCCGAGTTGCCTCGCAGGAGAGAACAGGGACATCTGCCCATCTGCCAGTTCGTTGTAGCTGCCGATGATCTCCAAAGGCCTGGCGGCGAGCGTTGATTTCGTCGCGCCTTCTCAGTGATTCATGTGATGATCAGTCATGAATTACAAATATATATATATATATGTATTACATATATATATATATATATTACATATATATATATATTATATATATATATATGTATAGAATCTGATATTTATAATGAATTAAATGTAACATAATATGGGGGGTTCCATCAATGGAAGTACCCCAATAGCTGGATGGTTTATAATGTTTATAATGGAAAATCCTATAAAAATGGATGATAACTGGAGGTATCCCAATTGCAGGAAACCTCCATGTGACTAACTGTATTACAGTGACATAGTGACATAGTCTACATAGTTGTGATCAGTTACAAATAATGATCAAAATCCGTCACACGGTTAAATGATGTCAAATGTATCAAAACGAGAAGGCTTTAAGTCCAAAACCATCCAGAATGTCTCAAGCATGCCTTCTCTTCATATTCCATCCCAGACTCCACAAATTCAGGAGTTGAATTCATGAGTTTGTTAGGTTAACATGTGCAAAAGGGAAAAGTATCACATGGCAGGTGCCCAAACTTGCCTGTTTTGTCCTTGAACGGGTGGATTGTAGATCAACTGCCCGGCAAAACGGCAAAACGAATCAGTGCTCCAAACTGCGCTACTCCAAACTTGTCACGCACTGAGATGCTGAGATACTGAAAAATGAGAAAAATGTCAGCTGCGACAGCCTGTTCCTCTTCCCCAGCAATGAGCAAACCGTTGACCTACGGGTCAGAACACGTGGTACAGGGAGGCCGATCAGTGTGTTGTCCCCACGCCTTGACAGTGAGGCTGTTGAAGCCTGCTCGCAGACCCGTGTACGTGATCAAGTACGTGCCATGAGGACCTTTCCTCAGATCGTCAGTGACGAAAACAACAGAAACGTGACGGTTAAACGGCAAAAAGCATCATGAAACCGTACCAAACATGTGGTCACTGTGGTCGCTGTGGTCACTGTGGTCTCTGTGGTCCCTGACGTAATGGAATTGGCGGTTGTATAATGACCTGCGGTAACAAACTCTTACAAGGTCTTGTCAGGTGGTTGCGAAGTGGAGCGGCGCTCTTGGCCATGAGGAACTCGGTAGATGAGATTTTGGTGAGACCGTTGAATGGACTTTGTCAGCACCATGTGCAAGACTGAAAGAAAACCTTAGCATTTAAACTGCAGTTCATTCATATCTATATACATGTTATATATTTTTGACATTTTGGTATACAGCTGTCAGTCTGTCTATCCATCCATCCATCCATCTATCTGTCTTCCAAAACATCTGCGAAGAGATTGGATGCTACACTGATTGGATTGGTTTAAGGGAAAATTTACCGGAAACCATAGATTTTCCTGTTAAATATGGGTCTTTCCTGTAGATTTTCCCTTAAACCAATCCATTGCTACACTGGCCACTGGCCCGAAATCGGGCCTCCTGTGAGGTTCCTGAACAAGCGATCGTTCAAGGTGCCATTCGGATTGATCTCTTCCCGGAAAGCAATGTCCACGGAGATCTGGCGCTGGAGGAACTACGGTTGGAACACGTTGAAAAAAACACGAATGGATGCGTAAGGATTTGAAGGGAGGCAACGGAAATTCATGGAAAATATATGGTGGCAATGCAAAGAATATCAAGAATATCGAGAATATTAATATCGATAATATTAGCTCTACTTTATATCCAAACCTCTGGTTTTGAGGAAGGAGCCTCTCTGCAAAACCCTGTGCTCTCAGCCCAGAGCGCTAAGGCCGCTAGAGCCGCTAGAGCCGCTAGAAGCGAATTTCACGTCGCTATCATGGGCAGTCGGGGTGGCGAATGTCAAGTCTTTAGATCTTTGAGGTATGCCAAGATGTGCCAGACTGCGTAAGTAGAAATTGAGGAAAGGCCAAAAGGCCAGAAAGGCCGGAAAGGCGCATGTTTTAAGCAGGGCCTAAGGTCGAGATGCAAAGTCTCTACATGATTTTTCTGTAAAAAAGATCGTCTCTCCAGTGCGCCTCAATTCCATCAATGTGTGGCACCGGATTCTGAAAAGCATCGCGCAGCTGCAAAGTGAAGTTGGTTTCCACCTCAGTGTCACTTGGCTCAAGACGTCGGCAAATTTTGAGCGTTTCAACCCTCAGAGTCACAGCCTCAGAAGCTTTCGGAAAAATGTTCCCTGCATAACGTGGAAGGGGCCAACGTCGACAAGACAGGAACCTCTCATGTGAACTCGTTTTGAGATATGATAAGAGTTTCATGAGAGCTTTGAATATCGATACGGGGGGCTTGTCTGTAGGCCTCTCTGATGTCTCGGATCCCTTAGGGAAAGAACCATGTTCATCATGTTCTCATGTATTTTCCAGTGGAATGTTGAGTATGTTGAGTGGAATGTGCTTTTTTAAGGCCAAAAAAAAGACATCTGTCAACAGTTCTCCAACGGTGACTCAAATCCATCCCAAGTCTCCGCACGCCAGCTGTGAAACCCAAAGCACCAGGCCCGGACTGAGCAGAATCAATTCACAGAATGGAGAATCAACGACGAAGTGGAGGAATTCGGAGGAATTCGGAGGAATTCACAAACTGAAAGACTGAAATTTGATGTAACTTGATGAGAGTAGCTTGGGTCGTGACCACTGTACACATTTGTGGCTGCACGTCATCTTGCGCAGCAAGAATTTCCAAGGGGCTGTTAGCCTGGGCCGAGTTTCTGAAACTGTTACACTGTTGCAGCCTGCACTGATTTTGGCGATCTGGGTGGCTGGAAAGCAGACTGTGTGATAAGTTGACTCAGTGATGATTGGGGAAGTAACGATGAAGGAAGTGAGTCGGTAAGTGCTTATCTAAATTACCAGCAAACCAAGGGAACTAAGTGAACCAGCAGGGATTTCAGCGAGCAAGAGCAAACAACAACAACAACAACAACAACAACACCAGCAGCAGCAGCAGCAACAGCAGCAGCAGCAGCAACAGCAACAGCAAGGTATCAGAATGGCCCCAGATGGTCCGAGTCCTTTACTGTAGCTGAAAAAAAAAACAATGGGGGGTTGGTCATTTTTGCTGAGTGCTAGTGTGGAGCCACTGGATTAAATATTGGAATTATATGTACCCTCTGGTAAATTAACATAGACCCTGGCAGATAGGGGGACTAGTTTCCATTATAAATTGGTGATTTTCAGGGTCTATGTTAATTTACCAGGGTGTATTAGATACATCTTTTCAGAAGGATATCACAATCATAACATGTTCCTGCTTTATGTTCCGCAGAGAGGATACTTTTTCTGAAACTCATCGCCTTATCAAAACAGGCCGAAAAAAATGAAAAAACAAAAAAAGGACTGGAAGATATGTGGCATACCGCAGACTACAAGAGATACCCGCAACATCCAGCAACTGCAGCACAGGCAACTCAGAGGGCCCAATAGCAGTGGGCATCGCTGAAGCGAAAAAAAACATGCGGCTACAAGCCGCGAACAAAGATGAACAAAGACGAGCAAAGATGAACAAAGTACAATGAGGACAATGTATTTTGAGTGTGTCTTCTCTGTGGAGTGAGATTTTTTGTCACCTCCAAAGGTGGTGGCACTCTGCACCAGACTCTGCACTCTGCAAGGAAGTGGCTAACTGTCCGATCCCCTGCAGGTAAAGCTCTAAGGTGTAGTTTCCAGGCTGCATTAGCACAAATTCCTGGCACCGAGACGAAACCCAGAAACCGAGGTCTCTGTGGTCTCTGTTTTTTTAAAACGTAGCACTGAGACATCTGAGATCATTAGCTTTGCTGTTTCCATTAACCTCCAATGACCTCCAATGACCTTCACGTCAACTCTGCCAAATCTAGCCGCACCATGATATGCAGATGGTCGTGGAGCCACTCATCTGGACTTCGTCGCTTCAACATGACAGGTGTTGACCTGACGGCCCGACAAAGCAATGCACAAAGGCGGCACAACGGGCGATGACATGAACTCTTGCTGCTGGGATTTCTTGCATTTAAGATGTCAAAGACCAAAAAGAGACACCTTCCGTGTGAAGAAACTCATGTTGAGTCCTGAGTCCCATGTTCTTCACCTCATTTCTGAGCCCCTTTCCCGAAAAGAGGGCGTGTCATCAATGGGGGTCACAGTAAACATCGTCCCATTTCCGGGTGAATCTACCAAGGTGAATTCACCGCCTGAAGATCAACGGGAGAGTATCATTTGCTGCGCCCACGGGATAGAAAAACCTCAGCGCATCTCAGAGACTTCCAAAAATCCTAGCAGTTCTCACAGTTCTCACAGTTCTCACCTAATCCCCCCAAAGATTGAATACTATTCTAATACTCCCGAAATATCCCGAAAAAATGGTTCTGAAATCCCCCAGGAACCCATGGCACCCATATGGCACCCATAGGTCAAAATTAGAGGGATGGGATTAGCGACATGGTGCCATTGGTTCACCAACAGTGAGTTCCTTACGCTTCGAAAGTGACGTTCGTATTGTTCACAGTGTTGCCTCGAATGTCCAAGGCCTGGCACCACGAAAAAGTGCCGTGTGCACCGTGATGGCCACGGGCCACGAATGATACATGGAGGTGTCCTAAAATGGAGGTCCCCCAATAGCTGGATGGTTTATAATGGAAAATCCCACCTATAAATGGATGATAGCTGGGGGTACCCCCATTTTAGGAAACCCCCACATAGTGACAACGTTGTGACAACTGCAGCTAAATCCGGAAAAAAATCCGCTCAGATACCCTCGGTCCTTTTTACAAGATGCCGGGAATCGGGAACGTGATGGAACGTGGCATACAAATTCCTGTACTGCGAACAAGTGAAAGTCCATAGAAATTCACAAAGGTTAAAAGATCAAAGATCAACCGGTAAGCCTTGTAGGAATGAGATATACTCGTGTGAAAGATCTCCAGCTCCGTCGATGTGATCGATGTGATCGATGTGGCAGACTGAAATGAAAGTTGCTTTGAAATCGATGCTACTTTGACCTCGTTCATGTTTCAGCTGCTGCGCCCTGGAGGAGACGAAAAGTGTCACCCATCCTTCTCCACCACGCAAAGAGCACGTGGACAGTGGGCCTACATGATCCTGAAGACATTCGATGGTGGCTGAATTTGGCCATAGAGAAATCTCGAAATCGAAATCACCTGTGCCATCTGTCGCTCCTGTCTCTGTCTTAGCTGTTTTGTTTGTGATCTCTAAGAGCCCACCATGATATTTCTCCACAGCCTTCCGAGCATGTTCCTCGCTGCCAAATGTCAAACGGTACGCGCCTCCCTTTTCAACGCTACATTCGAAGACAGGGCCAACATGATGTCCGAAGGTCTGCTTGAGATGCTGAGAACTCATCCTCTTCAAGAGATTTGACACGCGAACTGAGCGACGCATCTCTGATTCCCAGGAACCAGAAACATCAGAAACTCCAAATGGAGGCTTTGAAGTGACTGAAGTAACTGAAGTACGCTGAGTAAGAGAAGTACGCTGAGTAAGACTTGAGACTCTTGAGATGTTTGAGTCATTTGAGACGTTTGGAATGACGGGGATAGGGCTCACTGCAGGCACTGCAGGAACGACTTTGGAGTCCTGGCTGCTGCCGCTGCCGCCCAATGGAACCGTTGGAGAGATCTGGGGCAGAGCCTGGAGCAGCTCCTTGATCGGAATGCTGATCTTCACCTGTAGATTCACGCTGGGCACGGGATGTCCCATAGCGGATATGCCAACATCAGCTTGGCAGGCTGCACTGAGCGGAATGCTTGGATTGGACGGAATGGCACATGCCATTCAGAGGAACCCAGGTACGTCCCTGCCTGGAGGTCTTAGAATATTTAGGCTTTGGGCCGATAGGCTGAGGCAAACACAGACTCAACACATACACGCAACACACCCAACGCTCTCTCCCCTATGCTTTCGTCAGGAGATGTCTCAGCCCGTTGTCCGCCTGGAAATAAACGATCTGCTTCACGCTGCTCCGAACGCGCTCGAGGGGTTCGATCAATCCACTCATCAAGGCACCTGGGGGGGGCCGATCGCCGTCCAAGGCCTCCTTACCCGTGGCGTCCGCGTCCAAGGCACTTGGTTCTCCTGGCACCACAACGATGCGGTATGGCCTCGCTTTGGCCGAAGCTCTGACAAAAAGCTTACCAAATGAACATACAATGATGAATTTGAAGCTCTGCCATTGAATCCATTGGTTGGGCTCCTGACGTGTTTTCCAACGGAGCTCCACGCCAAAGATATTGGGAAGGGATGATCCTTGGATTTTCAGTGGATTGCTGGAATCGATTCTCTCAGATTCTGTCACACTTGCACTGTTTCTTCTTGGCCTTCGAGTCCGAAACCTTTTTCGCCGTGTCGGAGGTAAACCGTGGCGGTTCCACATTCCGGCGATGTGTGCTGAATACAGGGACAGCATTAGACAACAAACATGTGGGCCGTTTGCCCAACAAGAAAAACCAGAAAAACTGGTACAGGATGCATTGATGATTCTGCGAAGTGACCTGTCATTATTTCAATAGTTGGACCACGGCCCTTAGACACCCGTGGCATTTTATTGGGTTGGGGTCAGGGGTGGGGTGGGGTAGGGCATGTATTAACGTTCATGTGAGCTTTTACATGACGTAGATGCTACGCTGTGGCTAGCGGTTGGGGCATGTGTTTACGTTCATGTGAACTTGCACATGAAGTAGATGCTACGCGAACTTGCTCATGAAGCAGATGCTACGCTGTGGCTAGCGGTTGGGGCATGTATTTGTCACGTTCATGTGAACTTGCACATGAAGTAGATGCTACGCGAACTTGCACATGAAGCAGATGCTACGCTGTGGCTGTCGGTTGGGACATGTGTTTACGTTCATGTGAACTTGCACATGAAGTAGATGCTACGCGAACTTGCTCATGAAGCAGATGCTACGCTGTGGCTAGCGGTTGGGGCATGTATTTGTCACGTTCATGTGAACTTGCACATGAAGTAGATGCTACGCGAACTTGCACATGAAGCAGATGCTACGCTGTGGCTAGCGGTTGGGGCATGTATTTGTCACGTTCACGTGAACTTGCACATGAAGTAGATGCTACGCGACCTTGCACATGAAGTAGATGCTACGCTGTGGCTGTCGGTTGGGACATGTGTTTGTCACGTTCCTGTGAACTTGCACATGAAGTAGATGCTACGCGAACTTGCTCATGAAGCAGATGCTACGCTGTGGCTAGCGGTTGGGGCATGTATTTGTCACGTTCATGTGAACTTGCACATGAAGTAGATGGCAACCGAGCTTGGAAAGCAGCGGCGCACAGCCCTGGCATCCCTGTCCAAAGTGTGGTTCATCAAGTGAAGAATTTCGCGTCAGAACCCCAAGTTGTTTCCAGGCGTCTCCAACATTGCCGGTACCCAGCCGTTGGACCGACCCTGGTAGTCTTTGAAAGATCTCTTGCCAGCTCGCATGGTTTTGAAGTGCACAGAGCGTGGGCATTCCACTTTGCACCCATCCCTGCGACGATATGTGTTCATGCGGTGCTGGCGATCAACCTTGCAGAATCCAGATCCTAAACGGTTCTTGGAAGAATTTGAAGCGCTGCTGTGAACACAAGACGGCTGAAGAAGTGTGGAAACCAAGTAGTTGCCGGCTGCGAAGAGCCCACAAAAATGCAGGTTTCGTGTAGGCGAAATAGTTCTTTACATTCTGCTGCCTGTAAATAAGGCGTTGACAGGCTTTACACAAAAATAACACAAAATCCTACTGGCACGGCACATCCAATATCATCGGCAACTTCCCATGAATCCAAAAACGCATGGCCATCTAAGGGCCGTGCTCCTAGTTAGTTTCCTCCATTCTTTTTGCCTTTTTTCAGACTCAAGGTCAATCCTGCACTACGGGGTAAGAAGAGCACAAAAGGAGGTTGCCAAACAATACAACTATGTGGAGGTCATAACTCATTTCTATTTGGAGTTCGTGTCGCGGCCAAGAAGGATTACCCTTCGGAGTCTCGCCCCATCGCCCCAAGGGTCGCATTCAGATCTTGAGCGACTCACCGGAATCCATGCAATGTCATGCCAGGGTCGTAGGTAATGTAGATAATGTAGATGTTTTAAGCATTTTATGCGGTTTCAGATTTGTGTGTCATGGGGCTTCACAGCTGCCTTGCAAGTGTTGCATGATGCATCAAGACTGCAGAGC